TCTACACCGTAAAACACAAACACAGTTCTCCAAATACACACATCCTCCACGACCTCTACATACAAAGTAAGCGCAGTAGCACAAGACACCGCCATATTAACTATTCACTTACAACACACCGCCGCCCAACCCAATCACTACATCCTCCGAAAACGATAATGCACAGTCAGCACTGGAATTGACAAACCGCACGTACCATCCACCAAACCAACAAACGCACCTCCTGCACTCAAAAGCCTTACCAAACCTAGATACACACATGAAGCATCCACTTGGCGCTACCCGAAATCCTACCCAGGCCACATCTGGACCTAACAGGCCTGAATGCCTGCTCGCCCTGTTCCAATCGGGCTCCTCAGCGGAGTCGAGACAGGCTTAAAGCATGAGCACTCTGCCTGCAAAAAACCCCTCAATACAGCCCACGCGTTCCCAGACAGCTCCACAACAAACATCCAAACCAAACCCACCTTCCCCTACAAAACCAACCAAACAACACTACACTGTACGACGAGCCATATACACGACCACCATCAAAGAAAAGGCTCGCATCAACCACTCCCCTAGCGTCCCCCCCACACGCAGTGGGCCGTACCCCCAACGTGTACTTCCACCTTCAACAGGCGTCCAGAACAGCTCCTACTTCGCGCAACGGCTTCCTAATCCTCCCTCATACTCCCCACCTCCCGTGCTGTTACCCCACAACCTCACGTAGTCTACGATGCCAATCCAGGAACAACCCAAAACGGCACTCTTGCTATGCTCACACTCCCCAGACGCCGACTACAGTCACAATCCGCCACACGAACCGCAAACCGGCAACTCCATCTCACATACATCTAGCACTGAACGCTGCCATGCGGCCGGCATGCTCATACCCCATTCATGCTCCGTCGCAGAACAAAAGCCAGCATAACAATCATACCGCAATGATCCAGCAGCATCAACCACCCACACCCACACCACTCGACCACACCAACCCACTCTCTGCAATATGCAATACATACACACGTCAATACATAATACTACAGCCCTACTATAGCAAACCCTTCACACGTGCACAGCTGCATACCCAGCCTAGCCGCACAAATGATTTGCCTCATTAAGATAGACCCACCGCGCTTCACACATAAGCCTTACACAGTAAAACACAAACACAGTTTTCCAAATGCACACATCCTCCACAGCCTCTACAAAAAAACTCCACTACAGCACAGGGCACCACCATTAACTATCCACTAATACAACAAATCACCGTTCAACCCAATCAAGCGTCCAATTCCTAAAATCCATGAGGGATTTCCAGCACTTACTAAATTGCCTCAAGAACCTCAAACCGACAACTCCACCGCACATACATCTGGCATTCAACGATGACGCACGGCAGTCATGTTCGCACCCCACGCATTCTCCTTCAACGGAAGAACGCCACGATAACAATTATGCAACCATGCGCAAGCAGCACCCACCAACCACACCACCCCGAGCACACCAACTCACTCTCTGCGAGCAATACATAGTCATGCCAGTACGCAATAACAAAACCATACAAAAACAAAACCATCACACGTGCACAGCTACACAGGCAGCCAAGTCGCACAAATGATAGGCCTAACAGAGCTAGGCAAACCGCGCTTCACACATAAATTCTACACCGTAAAACACAAACACAGTTTTCCAAATACACCCATCCTCCACAAACTCTACATACAAAGTAAGCACAGCAGCACAAGGCACCACCATTAACTACCCACTAACAGAACACACCGCAGCGCACCCCAATCACTCCACCCTCGGAAAACGATAATGCACAGTCAGTACTGGGATTGACAACCCGCACGTATAATACCCCAAACAGATAAACGCACCTCCTGCACTCATCAGCCATCCCAAACCTCGTTACACAAATGATGCATCCGCTTGGCTCTACCCTACATTCTACCCAGACCACATCTGAACCTAACAGGCCTGAATGCCTGTTCGCCGTGCTCTAATCGCACACCGCAAGGGCATCGAGTCGAAGCTAACAGATTTGCACACAACGCGTCCAGCGCTCATGAACCCAGCACTACAATTTTCAGCACGTGCGTCGGTACTCACACCCCATTCACGCTCCCCAACAGAACAAAAATGGACATAACAATTATACAATAATCCGGTGGCCACACCAGCCAACCACACCCCTCGAGGACTCCAACCCACTCCTTGAGCACATTCCACAACAGCAAAACACCAAACACAAATGTCCATATAACTCCCCCCTAGATAGCAATGGGGGCAATGCGAGAGTCAATGGGTGAGGGGGAGGGGAAGAGGAAGAGTAGGACGGGGTGCTTGGTGGATAAGGGGAGTTTCACGGGGAGGACAGTCAACTCAGGCATACACGCGCATTCACGGCATTCTAATGCAGGCACAATGACCGTGCGTCTTTCTGAGCACGCATGTGGCCCATAGTACCATCGTGCATTAGGCTTGTGCAGGTGTGCATCGACCCACTTCCTGAGGTTACAAACGACCAAAAGACTTCTTTGACGTAGGGTTAAATTTGAAGGTGTGCCTCCTGGATGCCACGGACCGTTTCGGAAGAACGTACATTTGGCTTCTCACTTGCGTCGGGAGCCATCATGCTCCTTGGGCTTTTACAGTACCGTGGGCAGTCATCGCCTGCGCAGTCTGCAGTGGCCGCTAACGCATTCCTAAGGTCACCACGCTAGTTCGGCAGCTCAGCAATGACCTGCCACAGCACGGGTAAGCCAACGTAAACATTTAAAAACTGTACGAACGCCTCCCTAAGTAGGTCACCATGGTCAAAACCCCTGGTTATGCAGTGCCCAACGGCACACCGACCACTGTAGTGCTTGACATTCACAACGTTGCAAAACGCAGCGAATGACCACAAGCACACCAAACCACCGACGTCCCTCAGACTTCCAACAGCTGCGGATATTCTAAAAAGGAAAGCGAAGCATCCGACATTTTCACACGTTCCTGGCGGTCTCTCACTGTCCAAAGGGTTTGGGTAGTTGCCCGCAAGACTCAACCCTCCGACACTCATCAAGACCTAGCAGTTCGTTAGCCACCACTTGTGAAAATCGACGAGCCACCGACTACCATGCCGCTCCTCTACTTGCTTGATGGCAACGCAAAGTCTTTCAACGCCCTGCCTAAACAAAAATACCCAAACACCCTCCCGTACTTCACCGAGTGGCTGTAGCCCAACTGTCCAGATGGAGGGCCTACACATCCCCATGAGCCAGCAGAGGAACGCGCAGGACGAAGATTGATATGGGCAATCGATAACGACAGACAGCATGACTAAACAGTTGTTAGTGTTAGCAGTCGCATTACACCGCTACTCACAGAGCAGGGTAAAATGCGCACAAGGGAAGGTGCCGGTGTCAAGGGAAGACGCCACGCAAAGCAGGGCAATCACCAACTACGTTGAAAGCGACGGCGTGTGCCCCCATAAGATGCTACTTGGAGGGTGCGGTTTCCACTAGTTCGCGACAACCTAACCAGAGGCACTAAGGGGGCGCCTCTGACAGCCGCACATGCCTGGAAAGGCGGCATGTGTAAACAAGAACTATGGAACTTCCGGTTCTGTACAGGGCGACGCAAGCCACCTGAGGCAATGGAGGGCCTTCATGATGGGTGCCAGTGCAGCTATCCCCCACAACTGGCACCTGAGCTGTCGATAGTGACCGTCAAATTAAGAACACCTTTGGCACGCAACGAAGCAACGGCGGAAGACACATGCAGGCATTCCGGCCGTCTAATTATTCACAGACAAATTTCATGGCGAGTCAGCATGCATAGCTGGCACGCCCTTCGTCTCAGTATGTCACACATAGGCAGCGATAAGCACAGTGGGCTGTTTTACCACTGTCACTTTTGAGCTCACATCCTCCTGTGCATCAGAGAAGAGGCATACACCGTTAGCTAGGACACCCGCCACACGGTTTTCTTCAGCACCACCAGGGTGTAGCGCACGCTACGCGCCTACACTCCTTGTACCTCCCCCCTCTTCTTCTTCGCCTTCTCATTCCCAAAGACACCCAGTCCCATGTAAACTGTAGCAACGTTTCTAGAACAACTGAAACATCGGACAATACGTGTCAACGCAGACCTTCCTGCCTGGTGGCGCTGGGTTGTCCCTCACATCCTGCCGATGCTCAGTGACCAGCATCCAAGCATTCTTCAACTGAGGCTGCAAATAGCCTTGCTCCTCCTCCCCTTCCCCTCCACATCCAGCCGCCACATGGAATTCCACTGCGCAGTTCAGCAGCACATCTATAACGGCCATGTCAATTGCCGCCATGCCAACGCCAACATTCCTGGCTCCCCATTACCCCTGAGAGCCTACCGATGGTTGGTAGCACGAAGCCCCAGCACGCGGCAAACATAAACCAACAATTCCACTGGCAGCTGCTGCTGTGCAGTCTTCTGTCACACTCGCAAGAGGAATGGCGCATGCGTTGAGAGAATGCTGTCAAACTGCTTCTTTCGAAGGCTAAAGCGACTTGTTTGTTCACACCAATGAGGCGATATCCCTTAACAAGCCAATGCACTAATTCGTTACCATCACGTCTTCAGTCTGCACGTACTAAAATGTCACTAGAATGCATTTCCTAGAGGCAGCTAAACATCTTAATTGCGCCTTTAGCGCTGCACAACGACCACAAATTTACCGTTGTGGATAGTGCAGAACTGCGGCGCCCCACACGGTGACCACGCCAATGAAACGCGGCTCCCATACTCCTCCTCCGCTTCTCAGGTGAAGCATAAGATGTAGTAACACCTACCATACGCACACGCTTAAGATAGGCAACACTCCCGCAATGTGCCGGGTGGAGTAGCTTTGCACAAACTAGCGACAAACCACAAAAACCGCGGCGACCCCGCCCGACGTTTAGCCACATGCCACAAACGCATCCGCGGAAGCGGGGATAAGAGTATACATGGCAATCCTGGCCTCTCCAAGTCTCTCCAGAATCAACTACTTCCTGTTCCAGATCCAGAAATACGGGGCTACCGACAATATGACCAATCCCATTTACTCTGCCCATACGCATATTCCCGTTGCTCATACTGTAATCATCGTGCTGTCTCAAAACCACAACACACCTCCTGAAGCTGAGAGCATCAAATTGGTTTACCTGCACATGCATTGGCAGCGTGGGCCACAGGTATTCGCAGAAATAACGCGCAGAACTGCTGAACCCTCTAAAATCCCCTCTAAGGACTCATTTAACTCCTGTGTACTTTGAATTTCTGAAACTACTCCCACGGAAAAACCAACCCTTAAGCTGCCTCATTGCAACTCCTCCCTCGCCTGCCCCCCTGAAATACGAAGTACACAACGCCTCCCCCCACCTCCACTACTGCGTGTCTGCACTACTCACTTCCTGAATAGGCAAAAATTCCCCAACGGTACATGCACTTTCCGAAACAAAAAAACAACGATGTGGCTTTACACGGGCACGTCCGAGCGTAACACAGACCTCCTGACCTCCTGGGTGCCCATAAGCAGAACATCGAGATATTCCGTGTACATTCAGTTTAAACCAAACACGGTAAAAGCATTGCTAGCCGCATCACTGCTGCAGCAAGTCTAAAGTAGCTCACATATGGACAACGTAATTTCTGTGCACGTCTAAACCCATAGGGTGTACTACCTCACCGCCACGGCCATGGTGAACGGCGGCAAGGGGGAAAATCAGTAGCGAAGGAACAACAGGAGCTCCGTGCACGCAAAACAGAGAATGCCATGCCCAAGCAACTGCACCTACCACATAGCTGGTCGCCAAACGTACAAACAAGGTCCTGTTTGAGCATAAACGTATATTATCCATCAGCAAGTCTTCCCTGATAATATCAAAACTAGAGAACACCCTGGGTGCGTACCTGAACCTGGAATAGCGCAAACAAGCAACTTGCGGGCAAGCACTACTGCGAGGCGCCACTGAATCTCCAGCAGTGGCAACCCTGCAGAATCCAAAGACCGTGTCTCTCAGAACTTGTATTTTTAACAACTGCAGCTCAAGAGCCCCAAATTCCATGATTCGTTTGCGGTGAGCTAGTGCCGTAGCCAATGCCTCCAATGTGAACATCGCAGTCGTAAACAAGAACCAAAGACTCAAGACTCACAGAGCAGTTGTCGCCATCCCTTCCTCTCTCTGCCAGTGTGCGTATTGCACTAGACCATCTTTGTCTTGCGTTCAAAGCTGCAAAGCAGCGTAGAACAATGAAGGACACCACAGACGCCATGAGCAAAACATTGAGTACAGCAACAGCCGTGACCGGCTGTCGTCGGCCATGTCTGGCTTTCCAGTGTGCATTGGCTAGCTTAGTAGCTTGCTCGATCTTCGTTTCTAGCATAAGAATTTCGGCTGATGTGTTATTGAAGAAGGGCGCGGCCGGGAACGGCCTCAAGTAACTCTGGAGAACCGGCGAGCCAGCAGTGTCTGCCCCGCTGGCGATAACAATGGCGACAACAAGGAGGGATAAAAAAAGTAAAACGCCCTGCATTTTTGACAGCCAATAAAATAACCTAGTGGAGGAGGGGATTAAATGGTCCAGTAACTATA